CATGTTAAACACTAGAATATTTGTAGAGAACAATTGTGTTACAGCTGTAGACATGTTAAACGCTAGAATATTTGTAGAGAACAATTGTGTTACAGCTGTAGACATGTTAAACACTAGAATATTTGTAGAGAACAATTGTGTTACAGCTGTAGACATGTTAAACACTAGAATATTTGTAGAGAACAACTGTGTTACAGCTGTAGACATGTTAAACACTAGAATATTTGTAGAGAACAATTGTGTTACAGCTGTAGACATGTTAAACACTAGAATATTTGTAGAGAACAACTGTGTTACAGCTGTAGACATTTTAAACACTAGAATATTTGTAGAGAACAATTGTGTTACAGCTGTAGACATGTTAAACACTAGAATATTTGTAGAGAACAATTGTGTTACAACTGTAGACATGTTAAACGCTAGAGTATCTGTAGGGAGGGTCTGAGCATAGTCCAGTGGTCAGTGAAGTTGAAGAACCGTGGTTTGTGTCCTGTTACAGCCTAAAAAATATATCGCGTTTGCACGTTGGGGTTTTGGATGTATTATATGAGTGACTGTCACGGCATATTATTCCATCTGACAAGAGTTGGTAGCGACTCTTATTTATTACCTACTTTCCTCTTTCGTGTGTTACTTCAAAATTAGGTACAATTAGCGCCGATAGCCGTCATGTAGCTCAATGGGTTGTTTTTATTTTCTTGATTAAATTTATGCCACGTGCAGTCCATATAGGAATAACAGCTTGTTTATTCCTTAATGTTTGGCACAACCTTGTCCACTTTTATGACTTAATAAATAAACTTTTCAGCATAAATTCCATAACCAACATTGGCCTTAATTCAAATAAAACAGTATAATAAAGTGTCCATACATCAATTCTTTTTCCTAGTTGTGTTTTCCGAGGGTTATATTATACAGATGGGATGGCGTTTTTGTCCCTTGCTGTTCTGTCACTGTTGAACCTCTGGGCTCTTCAGCAGTTTGACTTTCAACTGGGAATGTCCTTTCTGAAATTATGCAGTTTGCCATTCTTTCATCAACGTACTTCCAAAGGCAATCATGGTGCTTAACCTTTGGATTGGACCATCTGTCCTTCAGAATTTTGTAATCCATATCATTACTTCTTTTCAGTATACATACATGACCCTTCCCCAACATCTTCCTAACTTTGGAGCACATCCTTTCTTGTAGTGGGTATTGTATAGCCATACCATGTTACCCTGATGGAGTTCATGCTTAGCAGTCGTGCATCATGAGATGTTGAGAAGTATACCACAGTAAGGTAACTTTCATATTGATGAAACTTTATCTCCACTTGCTTTTTACTTCAATCTTTCTTCTTTAATTATAGCGGGAGGCAATTTCTCACCATTCACTACCAAATTGAGTTGAACTGTTGTAGTTGTAGAATCATGTCAGTAAATATACTGTAAGGCTTCCCATAATAAACCCATGAACTCGTGGACTGATTTATTTAAATAATAAACTTTTTATCCCATTTTCGAAAGATGGGGTATTCTCAGCTAACGCCCAAACGTCCAGCTAATTATTGGTTCCCAATTTGTGGTTAGCCCTTTGTTGTTACTTTCATCTGGTTGGGGTCTGAGACTCATCGTTATGGTACTGTCTCCTTGGTGTATGAACAGCTCTTGGCTACTCATAGTCTTGGCTGTAATTGCCAGGTTTCCCACATTTATATCAGTTATGTTTTACTGGCATCCTTTGGAAAGAGTTCCCAGAGGAGGTAAACTGAAGATACAAAAACTTCCCTGGTAGGTTCCCTCACCACGTACAGAAATCCCTCTCAAGAGTCTAGTTACATAGAATGGAGAGAGTAAACCATAAGGTAATAGATGTTTCAAGAGTAACATGATAGGGTATATTGTAACTGAAGAGAAAGGCCTGTAGAGAATAACATCTGAACATCCACCTACGCGTTTGCCATGTGTAGCGACCCATGAAGGGAAGGAGAGGATGCTGGAGGTTGAATGGTGTCTAGGGCACTGCAAAACACCACTTTGGCCTTGAATTCCTGTAGACAGATGACCTCTGGGGTCAATTGGCTGGTCCTGTTGGGCTAGGATCAAATGAGTACCAGTGTTGGGCGTTCTCAACAGGTGTTATAGACATTGTGTCTGATGCTGGTGTTTGGTATAGTGTTCACGAAGCTCTGGTGTTGCTGCAGTGTTCTTGTTTGGCATTGTAGTGCATCCACTTGTAGGACTACATCGTGAGTGGGGTCAGTGGGCACTGAATCATTCTCTACGTATTATGGATTCCCCGGAAAAAATAAAATCGTAAAAAAAACAACTAATAGGTAAATGACCATGCATAGGCGACTCTGTTAGACAGTTACCACCAAAGTCAGATCCTGTACATCGATTTTTAATTCTTCATTCTTTGTCTGTCAAATCCTTAGGGCAAATGTCTCCCTTTTTCATTCAGAAGGGATTAGAGTGGCTTACTGGCTCTCTGAAGTCAGTCAGGAAGTTGCGCTCTGGAGACATCTTGGTGGAAACATCTATACCTACACATAGTGAACTCTTCCTGAGGCCATTAGGGATATACCCATTGAGGTTACTCCCCTTACTACTTTGAATTTCTCTGGAAAAGTGATTGTTGAGAGGGATTTGAAGAACATCCTCGAGTCAGAGATTTTCACTGGTTTCTCCAGCCAAGGAGATTCTGCTGTGTGATGAATCTCCACTTGCAAGTGTGGAATTATGCTGCTGACCAATGTTTTAATTCTAATGTTTACATCACCACGTCTATCGGAACAGTAAGGTGTGGTCATACATTCCTAACCTTCTCAGATGTTTCCAGTGTCAATGATTCGAACATTCGAAGGCATTTTGACGTGTGCTCGTTTTGGTCACAAAGACTATGATGCCTACGATTGTCAGTTAGACCCTCACTGCATCAATTGTGGTGGTCCCCACCCCTCTTACCATTGATCTTGCCCTAAGTTAGTGAAGGAGAAAGAGGCACAACGTACTACTTTCGGAAGTTATTGACCCCCCCCCCCACTCCATCTCGGACATATGTTGCTGAACTACATTCCACTGCTACAGTGGGAGTGCAGAGAGAGATCTTTCCATGTCTCAGACAAGACTCGTTTTCACACCATGTGAAGCATTTTACCCTCTATGGATAAACGAGTTGACAAGTCAATGTCTACCCCTGTCCCTACTGTCGCTTCCAGTGGCTGCCTGGATCCATCTCCTTTGGCCCAAAGATGCAGAAAGATTATTCGTTCACGCCCTCAGTCACTGAAATCTACGTCCACTGACAGAGACAGGGCAGAATCCATGGATGTCCAAATACCTCCTAGTAAAAATGACCACTTTGATACAGTAGAACTGTTGAGGTTTCCATTTTAATCTGGATTACATTAAGGCCTTGATCAATTCCTATCATCCCTTGTGTCTTTCCTTACAGGAAACATTCCTGTAACCTGCTGATACAGTCATCTTTCAGCAGTTTTCTTTATACTAGAATGACAAGTTATGTGATTGTCGAGTGCATGAAGGGGTGCCATTGCTAGTTGACCAGCACGTTCACACTTTGTCTGTGCCACTCGATACACTCTTGGAGGCCGTAGCAATTTGTGTTTCCTTGGGTCATACCATCACTGTTTGTTCTCTCTACCTGTCTCCTGGACAATCGAACCTTCATGCTCTCATAGAACAGTTGCTGTCTCCCTTTGTAATCCTGGGATACTGTAATGGACACAATCTCCCTGGAGTGGTGCTGATATTGATGGGAGGGGTTGTTCCATAGAGCATATGCTCTCAGATCACAACCTTTGTCTCTTCAATTTGGTTTCTTTACCTATTTTCATGCGCCTAGTCAGTCATTTACTCCTATTGATCTATCTTTCTGTTTCCCTTCACATTTCTCTCGTTTTTCTTGGAGGGTTGACAGTGACCCATGGGGCAGTGATCATTTGCCTTTTGTCTTAAGAGAGATTGGC